TCAAGGAATAACAAGTGTAATATCCACTAAAGCAAAGCTTAAGTATATAACACCAATAAGATAATCACGTTAAAGGCCTCATTTCAGAACATACATTCTGCGCATAATCACAATCATTGTTTTAAAAATTCTGGGCACAATCCAACTTTGAAAAATCATATAAAGTCAACTAAAACTCTAAATTGCATGAATTCAACATCTAGTGAATGTTTATAACAAGTACTACAAGTTTCATGATGATTACACTTTCATATTGCAACATTAAGATCATCAAAATCAGCCCAACATCATATTCCTCAAATCTGCCCGGACCACAAAAATTGCTTGCGTGAACAACTTCAAAAATTCATGATAAATTCAATTCAACTCCGAATTTCAAAACTCCAAATATAACTGAACCCTAACTCAAAATACTACAATTCGCATGTTAAATACTTTTCAGTTTGAGCTCATTAAAGTACCTTAAACAGATCAGACATGAAATAAGTACGTGCTGCCAGGTTTTGTTAAAAACTGCTTGCGCGACAATTTTATAAAAATCATAACTTATTCGTTTCAAATCGAAATCACATGATTCCAAAGCTCACTTAAAGACAACAGAATAAGCTATATTTCTCATGAAGGTTTCGAATTCAAAAAACAGGTTTACAAGGACCATTAAAGCAGTATAACAGAAACAACAATTACGTGAATAATCATGTCTTTTGACAACGAAACTTCAACATTTAAGTCCCAACATCTTATGCATCACCATTAGACCTTAACAAAACTATTTATCACCTTAATTAAATGAAAATAAACGTACTCAATATGCTCGATTCTCTATTTCAATATCTCACAACAAGAACTCAAGCAATATACACAATCACATAAAATAACGAGCACAATGCAAACGAATTCATAAAATAACGCTCCTAGCATGCATACTCCTCAAGGCATCGACATAAAATATACACTCAACGAAAATAATTAAAGGGGTTCGAGCCTCTTGTACCGTTCTCGGGATTTACAAACGAAAGAGTCGAGGAGATGGTTCAAGGAGGGCTAGACCGGCTACAAACGTACGTGAGGGGAAGGCTCGGCTGAGTAGCTACACTCGCGGCGAGCAGGGAGCCACAGAGTACAAACAGCGGCTTGTGCGGAGTAGCGGAGCGCACGTACAGCAGGGCGTCGGTGGGGTTCGAACAGCGGGTCGTTCGCGTGCTTACAAACGGTTGCTGCACTTCATGAACCGGGCCCTAGACGAAGGGACGATGGGGTGCCGCTGGTCGACAAAGAAAGAGGCGCGCACTGCTGTTTTCCGGCTGGAAACAATCCCGGCTGCTGCCCGTGAACAGGACCCGACGAAGGATTGCTGAACAAGGCCGAAAGTTCGCCCTCGGTCATGGGCCGCCTGGAAAAATCGACCTCGCTACTGAGAAAGTGGTCGCGCGAGAGATGGGAGCGAGATGGAGGTGACGAGAGCAAGAGATTGAGAGCTTTTCCTCTTCTTATTTCTGATGATTGCTGCGGGATTGATGGGATTAGCGAGAGAAGCAGATTTCTGGTTTTCTTCGTAACAACGAGAGGGAGAGATATGAGATAAGGGTGTCTGCGCATGATTTTTAAGAGGAAGAATAGGGTTTGAGCGATTTAACCAATAACCCTAGGTTAAATATCTTGCCAACCACGATAGGTAAATCGGGTCGCGGTTCCTTGGCTAGCGGGTTCAAGTGCCGGTACTCTCGGTTCGCCATAAAATAAGGTAGACGAGGCTCGAATAATCGCACGATAATTAAAATAGAACGAATAATTATATATATGTATATATAACACATATTTTATTTAATTATAATATTAGGCAATTAGTTAATTATACAAATAATAATAATAATAATAATAATAATAATAATAATAATAATAATAATAATAATAATAATAATAATAATAACAATATTCGAAGATAAATCCAATAATCGAATAGGTTAAATCCGAACTACGCGATTAAACCGAAATCGCCGAACGACGAACGTTTTACAATAAAACAATCGAGTACTCCAACCTTTTATTTAAGTCGACAACGCGAATAATAAAATAAATATAACCCCATAAATAAAATTCGATAAATAGAATATTCCGAGAAATTCTATAAATCGAACGGGGCGTTACACTGAAATTGTCCAAAACCCCGACACTCCCTGCATTGATCCTTCTCAACCCATTGTGAGTCAGGTTTTGAGAGTGGCACACTAATTTTCTTATCATGAACTGTATTGTTGCTGAAATTGTTGCCCTTTTTTTCCAGCAACTTTATTCTTGTACAACCTCTGACTCATCTTTCCATAATTTTCGCACGATCAGCGCTAAAGCTTCTGACAGCTCGCTGTCATCAACCAACGAACCTTCATCATCATCGCTTTCTTCTCTTTCTTCAACTACAACAACTTTGAGAGCTAGACCCTTGCTTTTGACATTATCATAATTGTTGTTGATTTCAAAGGTCCTGAGCTCTCCAAGAAGTTCATCAACATCAAGAGACGCGACCCTTTGAAAACTCTCAAGAGTTGTATTTTTCTCTTTGAACCTGGGAACAATCGTTCTCATAATCTTTTGAACTTGACGCTTCTCAGAAATTTCCTCTCCAAGCATCATACTTTGATTCACCAGATCACAAAATCTGGCATAATATATGTCAATTGTCTCTTCATCCTTCATTCTGATTTCATCAAATTCAAGGGTTACCTGTTGAAGTCTGGAAGCTTTGACAGTCGTTGAACCTTCAAATTGACGTTGTAAGACCCTCCAAGCATCTTTTACAGTTTTGCAATGAACTATCATTTTGTGTCTTGTCTGATCAACTGCCATCATAATCGCATACAAGGCACGATAGTTGGCTTCTTCTTGAAGTTTCTCAGCATCTGTCCAATTGTCCTTAGGTTTAGGAACCGTGACTTTCGTTGTTTCTTTTCCTTGATCAGGTGCTTGTTGCATGACTGGATGCTCCCAGCCGTTTTCAGCACTTTCCCACACACCTTTTCCAAGTGATCTCAAAAAAATTGTCATCACAGGCTTCCAATACGAGTAGTTCGAACTGTCCAATTGCGGAGGCCTGAACATTGATCCACTTTCTTGATTCATGATTTGAAGGTAACACACGTCCTAGGATCTTCCGTAATGAAGACGAAAACCCGCTCTGGTGCCAAATGAAATTTGATACTTGAACACCAAGTATCCAAAGTTCACGTAAATAGAACAATCAAACAGTAATGAAGATTCAAACAATTGCGGAAGCAGTTTTCACTAAAAATTGATCCTTCAGGAGAGCGTCCCACTCTCCCTTCAGATCTCTTTCATTAATGTGAACAACTCAAACATCATCCAAGGATTTACAGTATAGACTCCCTCTACACTCTACTTGAACAATGATTCACACAACTACTTATCTGACCACAACTCCCTTGTGGATTTTCTAGTTCTAATCCCTAAACTAAATCATAAGGAACCTTCGAACATTCTGTTACCAACTCTTAGAATAAAGTGTATATATGAAAAATTCTCATTCCGCTCAAAATACTCTCTAAACAAAAGAAGATATTCAAAAATGAATACTTAATCGATCAACCAAAGGGATCTGAATCAAGCTTCTTTTATCCTCCGACTTCAGAATGGTAAGTCCCCTCTTTTCTTTTCAACCAAGTCAAGTGTATATATGGTAGGTCATTACTCTTGGAGCCGACGATCTCTCTTTCATGTATTTAAGGAAGTTGAATCCCATCCTTGATTTTATTATCCTGCCCAATATAACCATGCGCTTATTAGATATTTAATATATAATATAACAGAAATTTAATAAAACTATAATCAAACTTCCCTTAATTATACTCGCGGTTTCCTGACTGCTGAGAATCCTAAAGGTTCATCGATTTACTGCCAATCTTTAGTACTTACACGGTCGATTCATAAACCCGTTGCTTACGAATTATTTGGGATTATTATTATTGTTATTATTATTATTATTGTTCTAGTTATTTGTTTAATTGCCATTAATTGCCATTAATTGCTACTATATATATATATATATTTATATATATATATGTACATATATATTATTGCTATCGGGTTTAAATTTATATTATCGCGCTTATAAACCGAACATCGAGTAATTTTCTAGTATCGAACTCGAGAAGAGAGCTCGGCAACCGCGCCCTTGACCCACGCCCGTGTTTCGCCCACACCCGCCTAAACCCGACCCTATTATCCTTATTGGATGGCAAAATAAATCCTAGGGTTAATTATTGAGAGACTTCTCCTTCAGTACAATCTACGTGCAACTTTTCTCCCAAATACCTCTCTTCTCTCGGTCGCGATCGGAACCAGAAAAATATGTCTCTCTTTCTCTCGCCTTGTTCGCGTAGCAGAAAAGAAGGGAGGAAAACGATATCTCTCGTCTTCCCCAAATCTCTCTGAAATAATCCCTTCACGTTCACTCATGAGGAGCATCCCGTCGCTAATCAGAGGAAAGAGAGAAGAGAACCCATCTTCATCTCGCTAATATCCGGCCATCATCCAAGCGCCGCCCATCTGTCTGCCACCATCGTTAACCCTTTCTTTCTATCGGAACCTCATCCTCGTCTCTCTCCTCTTGCTTAAGTTGATCGCACCCAACCATAGCGAGGCTCTATCACCGGCGAACTTCCCTTTTGCTGCTCCGTCGCACAGCCACCGCGAATCTGCAACTCCCGGCGAGCCTCCCTCCCATCGTGTGAATTCCGACAGTAACGAGCAGACCCCTTGTCGCGGCTCCACTCGCAATCATCACACCTCATACCACTGCTCTCGGTCGCCACCCGATGAGTCCCGTTCATGATCGCTGAAAGTGCACGCCACCATCGACTTCGTTGTCTTGCTCGCGAGTTCCTGTGACGATCGCTACCTGCGTTTTCCGGCGAGCTTCCGTGTGCACACGTTCAGGTCCTGCCCGCTACTCGTGGATGCCATCGCAATCACCACCCGGGTCTGCTAATCGGGTTACTTTCGTTGCGAGCACACCATCCTCGTTTGAGACGTGCAACCTGTAACCTGCTCGCTCGCCCCGACGTCCCATCGTGTTGCTGTTCGTGAGGTAACAGCGGGACCTTATTTGTTGTCCAGACACTCGTGTTCCGTCGGCGAGCCAAAAGAAGTTGTCGAGCCCCTTCGTGCAGTCCGTTTCAGCCTTGTCTCGACCCTTTTCGTGACCCCCGTGTTGGTGTTATATACTTAAGCTGTGCTTTAGTGGATATTACACTTGTTATTCCTTGATGAATAAGAATTATGTTTGGTTAAATAAGTTC